TGAATGAGAAGACCCCCTTCTCCTCAATGTGTGCAGTTATTTCTGTTCTACTCTTCTAGAAGCGCCAGATCCAACGGTAAGAAGACAATTAAAGGAACTAGGGAGTTATAATACTTCAGCGCTCGCGAGCGCTCACATTTGGCGGCCCAGATCCTGGGCTTATCTCAGGTTGGGGATTCCCAGAGAGGAGGGGGGGGGGTCATGTACAGTGGGCGGTGGGAACAGGTCGCTTTCTACTTACTTTGAGAAAAAGTGTTTCCAGTCGTTGAGTTTTCTTCGTTTTTTTCGCGTATCACTGGCGCCATGATACCCTTCCCCGCTCGACGGTAGTTTTTTTATTGAATAAAGCCACAGAACGTTGGTAGGGCCAGTGTAGCTAGTATGGGGATGGGGAAAGAGGGCTCGCATAGTAGGAGGAACTTTCAAGGGTAGGGCCAATTTTTCCCCAACGGCAGGACCTGCTCTGCTCAGATCCACTCACTTTCCGGCACCGTAACCACTACGGTTCATCGGAATTTGGGCACGCCCTACCGCTGAGGAGAAGTTTCGCAAAACAGACCCCCTTTCCTCTATTCTATATTAAACTTACCAGCTTTATGATTCTCCAACCTTTCTACCATTTTCTGGAGTTTTTTTCCAAAAAACTCCAGTTTCCCCTGAAAGACTACTGTCGATCGAAAAGGGGAACTTTAGCGGACATGGAACGAGGAACATTTCCTCAAAGGTGAGTACGACCCCCACTCCTTCCAGCGCCCCGCTCACTGAGGATCTCCTAAGTATGACGTGCCCTGATCAAAATCCCGCCATGGGAAAACGTTTTTGCTTAGGTTCGGCTACCTCACCATCACTTCTTGAGTCCTAATTACAATCTGGATCACTAAATATGAAATTGAAAGGACTTTAGAATATTGCAGACAGTGCAGGAGGGCCTTTATAGAACTGGAATTTGTTTGTTAGTTGTTATAGTTTTTACACTCGCCTCTGTAACAATAACAGTCGAGGCCGGTTCTATTGAAGGCTGGTTCTTATAACTGCCTATTGCCAAGTCTTACGACACCTTCGAGTGCGCAACAATTTCATGGCACATCTGGCACCAAGTGCAGAAGATGAAAGGGCAGAATTTTGCAGCGCTGGCTTGGAAGGGGCATTTCACACTTTTGCTGGTTCTTTTAATTGGTTCCTGTCAAATAACAAGTCTCATTTTGAGGAATTCTGTAAACTCCTAAGAGCTACGAAATACTACAAGTGAACCACTTCAATGGCAGGGCTTCACAGGTCCTCACAAGGTAGCCTTTATGGCTTAGCTGAATACCATGCAATGCACCCACCGAAAACCGAACTGCACCGAAATATGCTGTAAACAAACAACTCTGCGAACTTGAACCTCC